CTATTGAGATTGTAATAGGGATTATACTGACTCTGTAGATTGCTTTGGGGAATATTGCCATTTTAACAATATTAAATATTCCAATCCATGAACAAGGGATATCTTTCCATTTATTTACGTCTTCTTTAGTTTTTCAACAATGCTTTGTACCTTTCAGTGTACAATCTTGCACCCTCTTGATTAAATTTATTCCTGAGTATTTTATTCTTTTGGATGCTAAAAATGGGGCTTTTATTAGCTCTAATAGGTTTCTTTCAGATATTCTATATGTAAGATACGTCTTCTTTGAACACAGTTTTACTTATTCCTTTCTAATTTGGATGGCTTTTCTTTTTTTGCCTAATTGCTGTGATTAGAACTTCTGTATAATTTTAAACAGATGAGGCTTCACTGGGGCAGTGGTCCTGAATTCTACACCCAGTGGGGTGAAGGACCTGCTCTAGTGTCTCTACTGGGCAGGAGTTCCACCCCCAGGGCTTTGCCAGGCCCACACAGCTTTGGGTAGAGGTTGTCTAACCTGTTGAAAGTGAGGCAATGGTCCCCCTTTTCGAAACTGAGGTGGCAGCCCTGATGATCTCTGAATTGCCTTCCAGGTTACTCTTCCCTTGTCTTCAAGAATAGCATATGATTGTGGCTGAAGAGCTCTATGGTCCTGAACTGTAAAATTCCAGAAGACCAACAGCTTTCCCTCATTCCCTCCCATCTGTTGCTGCTTCAGTTCAACCTGGCAGTTTTCCTGCTGTGGTGACTGATTGACTGATTAATCTGTTTCACACATATACTGATGCCCCTATTGAAGGATTACTTGATCACACCTTTAGTGTTCTCTTTGAATACACTTTCTCATTGTTTTTTTTTTTTTTTGCAACACGAATAGGCTGAGAATTTTTCAAGTCCTTAAATTCTAGTTCTTTTTTGCTCAATAATTCCATCTTCAAGTCAATTCTCTCTTCTCACATTTTACTATAAATGGGAGAACCAAGGCACTTCTTCAAAACTTTACTTAGGAATCTCATTAGCTAAATATCCAATTTTATGACTCACAAGTTCTACTTTCCATAGAACACTAGAACATGAACAGAATTCAGCTAAGTTCTTCACTACTTTACAACGATCACCATTTCTGTTTCCAATAATATGTTCCTTATTTTCCCTGAGGCCTTGTTAGAATGGCCTTTACTGTGCATATTTCTACCAACATTCTGTTTGTGATTACTTAGATATTCTCTAAAAAGATGGAAGCTTTCTCTACAACTCTCCTCTTTTCTTCCTGAGCCCTCAGCAACATCACCCTTAATAGTTCATTTCTGGCAATGTAGGCTTTTTCTAGCATGCATCTCAAAACTCTTCCACCCTCTACTCATTACGCATTTTTTGGTGTTTGTTGCAGCAGCACCCTCACTTCTTGGTACCAATTTCTATCTTAGTCCATTCAGGTTTCTATAATAAAATATAAACTGGGTGGCTTATTAACAACAGAAACTTCTTTCTCACAGCTCTGGAGGCTGGGAAGTCCAAGATTGGGGTGCCAGCATGGTCAGATTCTGGTGAGGTACTTCTTTTGGGTTGCAGACTGCCAACTTCTGTGTTTTTACATGGTGGAAAGAGTGAGAGCTATCTCTGGAGTCTTTTTTTTTTTTTTGAGGCAGTCTCTCTCTGTTACCCAGGCTGGAGTACATGATCTCAGCTCACTGTAACCTCCTCCTCCTAGGTTCAAGCAATTCTCATGCCTTAGCCACTTGAATAGCTGGGATTACAGGCATGTCCCACCACACCTGGCTAATTTTTGAATTTTTAGTAGAGATAGGGTTTTGCCATGTTGGCCAGGCTGGTCTCAAACTCCTGGCCTTAAGTGATCCACTCGCCTCAGCTTCCCAAAGTTCTGGGATTACAGGTGTAAGCCACCGTGCTCAATCGTCTGGAGAATTTTTTGTGAGGACATTAATTCCATTCAAGAGGGCAACTCTTATGACCTAATCACTTTCCAAAGGCCCCATCTACTAATACATTTCATTGAGGGTGAGGATTTAAACAAATGAATTTTTGGAGGACATAAACATTGTCCTCCAATGGATCCATTGCAACGTCCTTTATAATGCTAAGGAAGTCTCCTTCTATTTTTATGGTTATGTTTTTTTTAAACCATAAATCGTTGGATTATGTCAAATGCATTTTTCTACATTGATTTATATGATCCTGTGAGTTTTTTTCTTCTTTATGTTATTAATGTGGTATATTACAGTGGTTTATTTTCTTATGTTGAAAAACTTTGCATTTTTGGGAAAAATCCTGTTTTCACTATTTCTATTCAACATTGTTTTGAAAGTTCTAGGCAGACCAATTAGGTATACTATGAATAGTTTGCTTTTTTTTGACTGAAAATTTCTCTATTTTGCCTTATATTTTGAAGGGTAGTTTCACTAAGTATAAAAGTCTAAGAGCAATGTGCTATGGTTCATGCCTATAATCCCAGCACTTTAAGAAGCCAAGACAGAGGGATCACTTGAGGCCAGCAGTTTGAGACCAGCTTGGGAAACATACTAAGATCCGATCTCTCCCAAAACAAAAAAACAAAAAAGGCTGGGTGTGGTGATATGCACCTGTAGTCCTAGCTACTCAGGAGCCTGAGACAGGATGATTGCTTGAGCCCAAGAGTTTGAGGTTACACTGAGCTATGTATATGCCACTGCACTGAAACTTGGGCAACAGAGAGAGACCTGGTCTCTAAAAGGAAAAAAAAATCTAGGTAGGCAGTTATTTTATTTTAGCACATTAAAGGATGTTATTCTATTGTTTTCTGGCTTCCAATATTCCTAAAAGATATAAAGTGTTCATCTTATTCTTCTTTTGAATAAAATGTATCTTTTAATTTTGCCTGTTAAGATTCATTGTGTGGGTGTTCAGCATTCTGTAATGTACTTAAGTTTAGGTTTTCTTTGCCTTCATCCTGCTTCATAACACTTCTCGCATCTAAGGCTTTCTCAGTTTTGGAAAGCTCTTAGCTAGTCCCTTAAGAAAACAGACTATATTTTGAAGCAGTTTTTAGGTTCACAGCAAAATTGAGCAGAAAGTACAGAGAGTTACCATATACTCCCTGACTTTTAACTTTCAAATACTGTTTCCGCTCGCCTTTCTGTCTGCAACTTGTATTCTGTTTCCCTTTCCTTCTGGGACTCCTATTACTCTGTCCCATATGTCTGTTGGCTCTTGTATCTATTTTCTTTCCATGCTTCATTATGGATATTTTCTTCAGACATTTCTTTAGTTGTGTCTAATCTGTACCCCTTTCTGAGTTCTTTATTTCTTCTGTTCTACAATTTCCATTAGATTTTTTCTTTTTTTTTTTAGTTTTTAGTTCTTGGCCAAAATTATCCATCTTGTTATCTAATTTCTTGTATATTTAAAGCATATATATTTAAAAAACCATGTTTTATTACTTCAATATCTGGATTGCCTATGAATTTATTTTTATTCCCTAGGTTTATCTCTTAGTCTTCAATCATTCAGTCTTGTCTTCTAGTAAGCATGGCCATGTTTGATTTAACACTGGAGAGTTTATATATAAATTTGAAGAGAAAAATTCAAGGTTCTGGATTAAGTTTCTTTCCTCCAGAGAGTAGAGCTATTTTAGCTTCTGGCAGTCATTTAGATTAGGGATCATCTCAATCCAATAAAAGATTGAATTTATCAGAGGCTGAGATTCTATTTTTGAACCTGGTTTATTTCAGGTTTATTACCTGCCTTGTCAGCCTAGCATCTCCTACTATTTAGCAAAAGTGTACCTGGCAATCATGACATGCTGATTTCAGTGATGTTCCCACTTGCCTGAAATACTCTTTCTTCACCTAAAAGTCTTGTGCTGATTCTTTAAACTCCAGTACAAATACAACTTCTTGAGTAACTCTTCCCTTCTGTCTTAGGAAGTTAATCACTATCCTCTATATCCTCTGACATTTATGTTTGTTAGAGTATTTATATATGGCTATGGGTGCCAACTCTATCAATATCTGATACATGAGATGTATCAATATCTGATATTTAAAAGGTGAGATGTGCTGTCAATAAAGTCTCTAACCTAGAAAATAATCTGATTTTCGTTTTTCTTTTTGTGCTTCTCTAGACTTCAAAGCACGATATATGGAAAAAGATCCAGAAATTAACAGGTTAGAATGATTCTATCCTTTACTCTTCAGTTCAAGGTTAATGACAGACCAATTATGGGTCTGCCTTATGACTCTAGCCTTAAATAGCAGGTGGAGGGAGGTTGGAAAAGAGGATGTAAATGGAAGAAGTGTGCTTCTTCTAGCATCTCCATGTCTAAAGAGATGTATGTTAATCTGTCCTAAGAATAGAAAAAAAAAAGAGCTGTATCTATACAGCTCCATGGTTCCTTTCCTCATGCTTCCTCTCCTCAGCTCCTTTTGTTCAAATCCCAAGGAATTCGGGAGGAAACTTGGTGAGATTATAAAATGGACAAAGGGTAACTACCAAGAGTTTGGTGAGGGAAGTTTCCCTATCTTTTTTCCCCCACCATAGATACTGGATAGACTCCTTTGGAGGAAAAGATATGTATCGTGGCCTCTCTTTCCCCTACTCCCACTGCTTATTACTATGATTATTCCTATTCTTCCCAATGTATATAGCTTACATCTACTGTATGATGAAGGCAGCATGTATGATGGAAGCAGTGTAGCTTTTTGAAAAATGTTGAGATGGGTTAAGTCTGAGATCTACCACTAATTAGCTTCATGATCTTGGGCACAACTTCATCTTTATTTCCTTATTTGCAAAAAGGGGGTTGGACGAAATGATGTCAATAATCATGATGCTGATAGATTCTTCACCTCTTCTCCCAGATCCGCAGTGGGAAGAAACCCTCAGGATGGCCTGTACTGAAGCTAACCTGACGTGGTGAGTAAAGCCTGTCTTCAGCCAATTCTACTGATAAACTCTGTGAAAGAAGTAAAGTACCTCGTACCCTGTTTTACTTCCTTCACTATGATAGCTTTCTCTTTTCTAAGTTAAATCTCTCTTACTGTTTTCCTTACTGGTATTTTAATGAGACTTCAATTACATTGACATACAATGTTGCATCCAGTGTTTCAGAACTCCCTGGGGACTGGACCCAGGACTATATACTCTGGTCAATGGAGCAGAGTCTTCAACAGATCTTCCGACACCTGGAAAGCACAAGGTCAGGCATTGTAGTTTCTGGGTGAGGACTGAAGGTGGTAGAGGTTTTAAAAAGGAGGAAGGAAGGGGAGGAAGGAGGGAGGGACAGAGTTCATTTTGTCTGTGGAGGAAGTTCAAAGTTCAAACTGGTCGAAGGGTCATTTCTGGGTGGAAGGGGAACAGTTTTCTCCCTTTGTCCTCGTGGAGGAATTCTTTCTATAAGTAACTGATGCTGGGGAAATAAACTTTTTTTTCCCCAATTCTCCTTCAGGCCAAAAATATTTTGCATTTGAAATGGCCACTTTTTTCCTTTTCCTATTTCAATGCAAACGGAAACATTTCTCTTTATTTCTTAGATCAAGGCTTATGGAACAGGATTTGCCTGAACCACAGGATACAATTTCTTCCTCTACCTCCTCTGTTCTTGTGGCTCAGAAGACTGTTCTACGCTGTTGTGACTATAAGAAAGCAACACATTCTACTGACCACAGCATCTCCTTTAGATCACCATGCAGTAACTCCAGTCTGTGTCATCTTCCTGTCTTTTCTGAAGGAACAACTTGGGAATACCAGAGCCATAGTTTACCTATTTCCCACAAAAAGCAGGCATCTGTGTTTGAGAACCAAGGCACAACCCTGCCTCCTTTTCAGCTATCAGAGTCCCAGAAATCAAAACATTTTCAGAATTTGACAGATCTTTCACCCTTACAATCTCAGAGCTCTTTTATCAACTCTACTTCTGAGCCTCTAAATATCTGCAAACAAAAAAGGAAAAAAAAAGATGAGAGAAGGAGCAAGAGTCATTTGACATCAGATCACGAGCCAAATTCTGTTTCCAAGGACAGATCACAACTTCCAAGGTGGGCTCCGTTCAAGCTCTCTCCTTCAGTTAGAAGGGAGCTAGAAGGACATATGTCTGAGAAGGTTTTCACTTTGCAGCAAAAAACAGTACCTTTACCTGTGAGGAAAACATGGGCGATACTCAATTATTTAACTGAACTACAAAAAGGAGTCGCTGAATCAAATAAACTCCAAACTCAGTTATCTATGCCCATTCATCAAAACACTGAGCAAAATATTAACAAAAATTCCCCAGACCTTCCATCATTTCCGCTTCTTGTGAATGCTGAAGTGGGATCCGGAACAAATAGCACAGAAACAAAACTTTCACAGTCACTTATTTCGGGCAAGCAGTTACAGCCTGGGGATGGCCCCCAAATCCTTGGATCCAAGCCTTCAGTTACATCAGCGGGCACTCTACCTCCAAGAAGTTTAGGAGTTAATGTAATTCCAGAGGAAACTGCTTTACTGAAGAAAGAGCCAAAACACATACTAGAGCTTAGTATAGAGAAGAGGGTCATAGGTTTTCCAGAAAAGAGGATACAGCAGCATAAGACACAAGTGACTAATGTGGATTTGACACCAAGTCTACCATATCAAGTCAAGGACAGCATAAAGGTAACTCCACTGGCATTACTTCAGGTCATGGATTCAATAGGGATGATCCCAGAATCACATTCAGAATCCGTGGGTTTGTTCCCACAGCTGCCAAGTCAAGTTGTGAAACCAATGGAAACTATGAAAACAGTGAGCATTACCCCCAAACCACCAAATAAAGTCATTCAGTCAATGGAGGCAGCCCCAAGGCCAAAGCACCAAGTTGTGGAATCAGAAAGGATGGCCACAAGATTACTGAATCAAGTCACAGATAATAAGAAAGTAACTCCTGTAGCATTGCTTCAAGTTATGGATTCTATGGGGATGATTAACAAATCACATCCACACAAAGAATTAGTGGGAACGACTCCAACACCACAACATCAAGCCATAGGGTCAGTGAAGATGAACATATTATTGAACCATCAAGTCACAAACCCAGAGAAGATGAATCTAAGGCCACAACGTGCAGTTATGGAAACTGTGGAAATGATGCCAGGGCCACAGCATACAGTCATGGAATCAGTTGGCATGACCTCAGGATCACAAAGTCAAGTCATGGAACAAGGAAAGACTATTCCAGGGCCAATATGTCAAGACACAAAATCATCGGAAACGATCTCAGCACCGTTACATCAAGTCACGGATTATGTGAAAGTAACTCTAGTGGCACTATTACAAGCCATGGATTCCATGGGGATAGTTCCACCAGCACAGCCACATGTTACAGAATCTAGGGGTTTGACCCCAGGTTCACAGTTGCAAGGTAGAAGATCTGTTCATCTGGTCCTACCACCAGAGTTTCAAGATATAAACACTGTGGAGCTGACACTAAGACCACCAACGGAAGACACAAAATCTGCGGAGTTGACCCCAAAGACATGGTTACAAGATGTCAGATCTGAGAAGATAGCCCCAGTACTATTGTTTGAAGATGTGAAAACTCCCCAAATGGTAGAATGTAGGAGGTTAATTCCTGAGACACATGTGCAAGGTATGAAATATGGGGAATTGGACAAAGGGACACAACGTCAGGCAGTAAAAGCTGCAGAGATGAGCCCCAAACCAAATCACCAAGCCACAGAGCCTGAAACATTGACCCCATGGCATCAAGCCTCAGAATCTTTAGAGATGATCTCAGAGCCAGGTTATCAAGGAAAAGAAGCAAAGTTGACCTCTGACACTTGTCACCAAGTGGAAAAATCTATTGGGTTGATCCAACCATCTTTAGGAACTACCCCAGGGCCACTGAGCCAAACTTCAGAATCTGTGGAGATGAGCTCAATGTCATTCCAAGACACTCTTAAGACAGTGGACCAACTTGGAAAAGCAATGAGGGAAACTGCAGTATCACAACACACAACAAAAGAATCTCTGGATTTGATACCAGGATCAGAGATACAAAGTGTGAAATCAGAGGTATTGACCACAGAGCCACAGTCTCATGATATGAAGTTTGTTCATTGCAATCTAGGGCCATGTTCAGAAGTTACTGAGTTGTCAGAGACACCCCCCACGTCAGAACATAAAGACACAGAAACTATGGGGTTGGCATTGTCTCAAGTTGATAAGACCTGGGGGGTCATCCCAGTACCACTACATTCAAAAACAGGAGTTTTGGAGTTAACGCCAGGACCAGGCATGCAATATGAGAAATCAGAGCCACTACTACAAAACTTGAAATCTGCAGAGTTAACCAGTGAGTCATCTCCATTAGTGATAGGATCTAAAAAGTTAATTACAGAACCAAAACCACATGTTATGGACCTGACCCCAGGGCCACAGGTCCAGGGAGGAAAGTCTATGCAGTTGGATCTAAAGTCACAGTTGCAAGACGTGAAACATGTGAATTTAATCCAACAGCCAACTACAGGAGTGGTAGAATCAGAAGAGATGATACCAAAGCCACCACTACAAAGTATGCCATTGGAGAATTTGACTAAGAGGGCAGAGCTCCAAAATGTAAACTCTGTGGATTTAAATCTAGGCCCATGTCAGCCAAGTGTCAAATCTTCTGCATTGACCCCAGAGCCACAGATACAAAATGTCAGATTTTCAAAGGTATTTCCAGGGCCACTTCTTCAAGGAGAAAAACCTGTAGATTTAATCTCACAACCCCTACATTATGGTGCGAAATCTGATGAACTGACCTCAGATTCCCCAGTTCAGGACATCAAATCATCAGATTTTATCACAGACCTAACACATCAAAGTGTCAAATTTGTACAGCTGACCCCAGAACCACAACCTCAAGGTGTGAAATTTGTGGAACTAAACCCAGGACTAGGCGTGCAAGATGTCAGATTTTCTGATTTGATCCCAGAGTCAAAGCACCAAGGTTTCAAACATACGCAGATGACAACAGGAGCTCAGCCTGAAGATATAAAGTCTCTAGGTTTCATACCAGAGTCATCTTTGCAGTTAAGCCAAGGGCCATACGTTGAAGACGTGAAATCTATTCTGTCTACTGAAGAATCACAGTTTCACAGTATGAAATCTGCAAAATCAACCTTAGAACTACCATCTCAAAGTGTAAAATCTGAGGAAGTAAACTTAGGGCCTTGGCAGCAATATCTCAAATTTTCTGAATTGACTTCAAGGCCAAAGCTGCAAGGTATCAAATTTGGGGATCAAACTCCAGGATCAGCGTTTCATAGTGTGAATTCTGTAGAGGTGGTCCCAGAGTCAGGACTGCAAGATTCCAAACTAGCAAAGATGTCTCAAGGAACTCAAAGCATGAAACAGGAAGGGCTTAACCCAGAGCTGCAGCTACAAGATGTCAAAATTTTTGATTTAGTACCAGGAACTCAACCTCAGGGTGTGAAATCTTTAGAGTTAAACTCAGGGCCACAGCTACAATGTGTACAATTTTTAGAGTTGACCCCAGGGACAGAGATGCAAGGGGTACCGCCTATGGCAATGGCTCCAGGGCCAGAGGGGCAAGGGGTTAAGCCTGAGTTGTTAGTACCAGAGCCACTGTTTCAAGATGTAAAATATGGAGTAGGCAATCAAGTGCCAAGCCTTGAAGTTGAAGTTTCCAGTAAATTAGTCTCAGAGCCACAAATGCCAGGTGCAGAATCCATGGAGTTGACTCTGGGGCCACAGTTGCTCAGTGTAAATCATTCTGAGTTGACCAGAAAACCACAGTTACAAGGTATGATATCTTCTGGATTGATACAAGGACCGGAGCTCCAAGATGTAAATCCTGTGGAGGAGAGCCCAGTCTTAAAACTTCAAGGTTTCAGATCTGAAAAGCTAACCCCAGAGCCACAGCTAGAAGATATGAAATCTGTGGACTTAATCCCAGGGCCACATTTGGGAGATATGAAAACTAGGCAGTTAACACCAGAGCCAGAATTGGAAGACGTCAAATCTGTGATGTTAACCCCAGAGCCACAGGCAGGAGGTGTAATACTTGAGGAGGTAACCCCAGGCTCAAAGCTCCAGTCTGAGTTGCTGACCTCAGGGTCACAGTTAGAAGATATGAAATCTGTGACCTTAGCTCCAGGACCATGCCTGGAAGGGATGAAATCTATGGAAATATCTCCAAGTCCACAGCTGGAAGGTGGGAAATCTGTGGCGAGAACCTTAGGGTCACAGAGAGATGTCAAAGCTGTGGAATTCATCCCTGATTCGGAGCTTCAAGGTGTAAAATCTGTGGAGTTGACTCCAGGTTCAAGAATTCAAGATTTTAAAACAGAGGAGTTGGTCCCAGGTACACAGCTGCATGATATGAAGGCTGCAAAATTAAAATTTGGGCTAAAGATGCAAGGTGAGAAGTCTATGGCTTTTGCACCAGAGCCATTGCTTCAAGGGGTTAAATCTGTGGAGATGCTTCGAAGGCCTCAGCTACAAAGCATGAAACCTGAGGAACTGACTTCAGTCCCACAAATGCAAGATATGAAATTTGTGGAGATTACTCCATGTTTAAAGCTTCGAAGTTTAAAATCTATAAAGGAGACTCAAGATCCACATATGCAATGTGTAAAGTCTGTAGAGTTTGCCCCAAGGCAGAAGAGACTGGTAGTAAAATCTGTGAATGTAACCAGAGGACAAGAGTTTGAAGAAGTAAAACCTGTGGATTTAGCCCTAAAGCAACAGTTTCAGGCACCTGAGGATTTAACCCTTGAGCCAGAACAGGATGGTCAGATATCTGTAAACTCACCAGAGCAGCAATGTGTGAATTTTGAGCAAGTAAAGAGATGGTCTGAGTCAGAAGGTATAATGTCTTTGGAGTTAATTCCAGAGTCAAAATCTGAAGGTATAAAATCTGTAGACATCAAGTCTGACCTACAGTCGAAAGGTATAGAATCATCTGAATTGACTCCAGAACCAAATATGCAAGATGTAAAAGCGAAAGAGTTCAAACATGAACCACAGTTGCAAAGTCTGAAATCTCCCAAATTGACTCCAGGACCGCAGTTGCACCAAGCGAAACCCTTGGGCTCAACTGCAAAGCCACAGCTTCAAAGTGTGAAAATCGTGGAGTTAAGCAAAGAGCCAGAGCTTGGAAGAATGAAATCTGTTCAGTGGATAACAAGACCTGAGTTACAAGGTGTAAAATCTGTAGGATTAAATCTTGGGCCACAATCTCGAAGTGTCAAAACTGCAGAGTTGAAACGTTCCATACAGTTGGGAGATATAATAGCATCTAAATTGGTTCTAGCACCAAAACTTCAAGATGCAAAACCTATGGAGTTTAACCTTGGGTCACAGTTCCACTGTGTGAAAGCTCCTGAGTTGTCTCAAGGACCACAGCTGCAAAAAAGGAAAATTCCAGCATCAAGCTCAGAGCCACAACTTCAAGGTGTGAAAACTGTGGAGATAAACCAAGACTCACGGCTTGGAAGTGCAAAATCTGTGCAGTGGATACCAGGACCTGAGTTCCAAGGTGTAAAAACTGGAGGGCTGAATCTTGGTTCACAATCTCGAGGTGTCAAACCTGCAGAGTTGAAATCCTCCATAGAGTCAGGAGGTGTAAAATCATCTGAATTGATTCTAGGGCCAAAAATTCAAGGTGCAAAACCTGTGGAGTTTAACTATGGGCCACAGTTGCAATTTGTGAAAACTCCTAAGTTGTCCCAAGGACCACAGTTGCCAAAAGGGAAAATTCTGGCATTGACCTCAGAGCCACAGCTTCAAGGGGTAAAAACTGTGGCGTTAAACCAAGACTCACAGCTTGGAAGTGTGAAATCTGTGCAGTGGATACCGGTACCTGAGTTCCAAGGTTTGAAATCTATGCTAAAATGTGGTTCACAATCTCGTGCTGTCACACCTGTAGAATTGAAACCTTCAATACAATTAAGAGATGTGAAGTCATCTGAGTTGACTCCAAGGCCAAAGCTCCAAAGTGTACCACCTTTGACATCACTCCAGGAACATCAGTTGCCAGGGTCCAAAACTATTGATTTGAAGTCTGGGTTACAGTTGAGAAGTGTGAAATCATGTGGCCCAATTTCAACATCAAAGCTCCATGATATAAAATCTATGGCATTCAAACCTGGGCTTCATTTGCAAGATGTGAAATCTTCTGAGTTGACCCCAAGACCACAGCTGCACAAAGTGAAACCCTTGGAGGCATATCCAAGAACACAGCTGCAAGATGTGAAGTCTCTAGTGTTTACACAAGAGCCACAGTTTTCAGGGGTGAAATCTGGAGTATTAAGCCAAGAGCTACAATTACAAAGTGATAAAACTGTAGCGCTGAACTTCTTACTACACTTGAAAAGTACGAAATCATCTGGGTTGGTTCATCAGACAAAGCTTTCAGGTATGAAATCTGAGGAATTTAGCTCTGGGCCACAATGGCAATGTGTCAAATCTTCTAAGTTGACACCTAAGACGAAGTCCCAAGACATGAAGTTTATGGAGTTAAATCCCAGCTCACAGTTAAAAAATATCCCACATTCTGATTTGACCACGAAGACCAAGATTCAAGGTGTCAAATCTACAGACTTCAAACCTAGGCCACAGTTGCAAGGAGTGAAATCTGAGTCGATATCGAAGACAAAGCTTCAAGAAGTGAAATTAGTGGAATCCAACTCAGGCCCACAGTTGCAAGATTTGAAATCATCTAGGTTGATAGTGGGTATAAAGCTTCAAGACATTAAATCTATGGATTTCAGTTCTGGACCACATTTACAGAGTGTGAAATCATCTGAAATGATTCCAGGGGTGAAGCTTCAGGGTGTGAAATCTGTAGACTTCAAACCTAGTCCAAAGTTACAAAGTGAGAAATCTGATTTGACCCTGGGGAGGAAGTCTTCAGGTGTGAAATCTGTAGAGCTGGAATCAGGCCCACAGTTACAAGATATAAAATCTTCTGATCTGACCATGGGTATAAAGCTTCAAGATGTAAAATCTGTGAAGCTCGGTTCTGGACAACAGTTTCAAGGTATACAATCTTCTGAGGTAATCTCAGGGACAAGGCTTCAAAGTATGAAATCAATGTATTTCAATTCTGGACAACAGATACAAGGTGAAAAATACTCTGAGTTGATTCAAGGAACAAACTGTCAAGATGTAAAATCTGTAGAAAATAACCATGGTCCAAAGTTACAAGGTGTGGCATCTTCTCAGTTAACACTAGAGACAAAGCTTCAAGTTGGGGAATCTGTAGAGTTGAACTCAGGCCCACAGTGGCAACATATGAAATATTGTAACTCAATCAAGGGGACAGAGCTTCAAGACGTAAAATCTGAGGAGTTCAGTTCTGAATCACAATTGCAAGGTATGAAATCTTCTGAAGAGATTCCAGTGACAAAGCTTGAAAAAGTGAAATCTGCGGAGCTCATGCCTAGGCCAATGCAGCAAGATGTAAAATCTTTTGAATTGTCTCTAGGTACAAAGGTACAGGATAGGACATCTCTGGGGTTAAACTCAACTTCACAGTTACAAGATAGAAAATTATCTATGTTGACACCAGGGATACAACATCAAAGTGTGAAATCTACAGAATTCAATCCTGGAGCAAAGTTGCAAGATAGGAAATCTGGGTTGATAAAGCTTCGGACAGTGAACTCTACAGAGGGCAACCATGACCCAGAATTGCAGGTTGCAGAACTCTCTAAGTTGGCCTTGGAATCAAAGATTCACAGTGTGGCACCTTCTGAGTTCAATACTGAAAAGCGGCAGCCAGATGAGAAATCTCACAAATTGATTCCATGGCCAGACCTTCAAAGTGTCAAATTTACGGTGTTCGATCCTGGGCCGCATTTGCAACATAGAAAACCTTCAGAATTCTGTACAGGGACAAAGCTTCAAGATGTAAAATCTATGAAATTCAATCTTCAGCAACAGTTGCAAGGTGTGAAATCTTCTGAGTTGCACTTTGGAACAGGGCTTCAAGGTATACAATCTTTAGATTTTGAGCCTGGGCCACAGGTGCAAGGAATAAAATCTGTCAAGTTGAATCCTGGGCCTGCGCTTCAAGGTATAAAATCTAAGATGTTCTGCCTTGGACCACATTTGCAAGATGTGAATTCTTCTGCATCCATTCCAGAGCCACCACCTCAGTGTGTAAATTCTATTGGGTGCAACCGTGGGCCAACTTTGCAAGGTTTAAATTCTTTTGTATGTATTCCAGGCCCTAAACTTCAGTGTGTAAGTTCTAATGGGTTCAACTCTGGGCCAATCTTGCAAGATATGAATTCTTCTGCATCCATTCCAGAGCCAACACTTCAGTGTGTAAATTCTATTGAGTGCAAACCTGGGCCACATTTACAAGGTGTAAATTCTGCATCCATTCCAGCACCTAAACTTCAGTGTGTAAGTCCTAATGGGTCCATCCTTGGGCCAAACTTGCAAGGTGTGAATTCTTCTGTATCTAGTCCAGAGCCTCCACTTCAGTGTGTAAATTCTATTGAGTATATTTCTAGGCCAGATCCACAAAGTGTGAGTTCTTCTACATCCATTCTAGGGTCCAAACTTCAGTGTGTTAATCCTAATGGATGCAATCCTGGGTCAAATTTGCAAGGAGTGAATTGTTCTGCATCCACTCCAGAGCCACCACTTCCGTGTGTAAATTTTATTGGGTGCAATCCTGGGCTGCACTTACAAGGTGTAAATTTCTCTGCACCCATTCCAGGGCCAAAACTTCAGTGTGCAAATTCTACTGGGTGCAGCCCAGGACCACATTTGCAAGGTGTGAATTCTGCATTCATTCCACAGCCGCAAGCTCAGTGTGTAAATTCTACTGGCTGCAACCCAGAGCCACATTTACAAGGTATGAAATCTCCTGAATTAACTCCAGTTTCAAAACTTCAAGGTATGAAGTGTTCTGAATTGAATCCAGGGACAGAAATTCAAAGTGAGGCATCTATGATGTTCAACCCTAGACCACATTTGCAAGATTTAAAGTCTGATTTGATTCCAGGGTCAAAGTTTCTATGTGTAGCACCTATGGAATGCAACCCTGGGCCACAGGTACAGTGTGTGACTTCTTCTGAGTTGAGTCCAGGGCTAAAGTTACAATGTGTAAATTCTATGGAGTGCAAACTTGAGCCACACTTTCAAGGTGTAAAATCAGGGACAAAATTTCAAGTTATGAAATCTGAGTTGCATCCAGGGCCAGAGCTTCAAAGTATAAAATCAGTTGTGTTCAACTCTGTGCAACATTTACAAGATGTAAAATGTGAACTGACTTCAGGGACAAAATTTCAAGATGTAACACCAAAGGAGTTCAACTCTGGCCCACAGCTGCAAGGTATGAATTCTTCTGAGTTGAATTCAGAGTCAGAATTTCAATGCATAAATTCTATCAACTTGAATCCAGGGCCACAGATAAAAGGCATGAAGTCCCCTGAATTGAACCCTGGGTCAGAATCTCAAGGTACAAGATTTATTCTGTTCCATCTCGAACCACACTTGCAAAGTGTGAAATCTTCTGAGTTAACTCCAGGGACTAAGTCTCAAGGAGTCCAATTTTGGGGGAAGCACCTTGGCTCACAGCAAGCTGTGCAACCTGCATTCACTTTGGGTTCTCAGATAAATGATATGAAATCTGAGGTATTTTCACCAGAGCCACTGCTTAAAGATGTAAAGTCTGTGGAGATAAATAAGCAGCCATTGCTTTATGACACAAATTCTGTGAAAATGATTTCAGCCTCTGAGGTGCCGGACTTAAAATATGAGGTATTTACACTACAGCCATGTTTTCAAAAATTGAAATCTGTGGAGTTAAAACCAGAACCATATCCTCAAGGTGTGAATTCTGAGGAGTTGCATTCACACCTCAGGCAGCATAGTGTGAGATCTAAGCTATTTGTATCAGAGCCACGTTCTCAAGAGGTGAAATCTGTGAAGTCAACTCCATGGCCACAACCTCAAAGTGTAAATTCTTTGACATCATGCTTTAGGTCACAATGCATTAAATCTGTGGCCTTTGCACAGAAGCCATGTTTTCAATATATAAAACCTATGGAGCTGACACCAGGGGCCCAAGAGCAAGGTATAAATTATAAAGAGTTGATTTCAGGATGGCAAGATGTGAAATCAATGGTATTGGCACCAGAGCCAACTAGGAAGTTCCCATCAGGACCAATGTTGGCCAGTGTCAGATTTTCAAATTTGTCTCCAGAATCACAGCAACAAGGTGTGAAATCTTTGAAATTTACTCTAGAGCCAAAGTTGCAAAGTATAAAACATGTGAAATTGTCTTCAGTGTCTCTGCAGCAAACTGTAAAATCTGTGGAATTAGGACAAGGGCCACTGCTTCAAACAGTGAAATATGGGGAGCAAACTCCCAGAACAAATGATCAAATCATGGCATCCTCTGAAATAATCCCTAGACCGGGGCATCAGTTTGCAAAATATGCAGAGATGATCCCACAGCCAAAGTATCAAGTCCCTAAATCTGCAAATTTGCTTTCAATACCAATTTATCATGTCACAGAATTTTCAGAAATGGCGCAAGGATTGGCACATAAAGGCATAGATCCTATAGAGAAATCTGTGGGGTTGACCCCAAAGCTAACAGGTAGAGCCATGGAATCTTTAGGGATGCTGCTGCAGCCAGATCTTCAAGTACCAAAATTTGTTGATCTGACTCCAATGCTAAGGGACCAAAGCTCAAAATTCTTAGGATTAACTCCAGAAAACAGCCACCAAATCCTAGAAACTATGGAAATGCTCTCTCAGCCACGGCCCCAAGTTAAAGATTTGGGGGAGTTAAATATAAAGCCACTGCAGCAAATTGTAGAACCTGAAAGGATTACCCCAGAACTCAAGCATTACTTTACAGAAGCTATGGGGTTGACTACTGAGGCAAGGATACAAGCAAATGAATTCTTTGGAATGACTCCAAAGCCAAGAAGTCAAGACCCTGGATTTGCAGAGAGATCCCCAAGGCTCTGTCCTCAAGACTTAGAACCTGTGGAGGTGATCTCTCAGAAAAGATTGCAAAGGGAAGAATCTCTGGTATTGATTCCAAAGTCATTACATCACGTCCCAGATTCTGCTTCAGGGATGACACCTGGGTTAGGACATCAGGTTCCTGAATCTGTGGAGTTGACTTCTGAGTCAGAAGTGCAGGTAGAGAAAACTTTGAAATTAACACCCAAACAACAACATCATGTGAGATCTCCAGAGATAATATTAGGGTTAGGACATCAAGTCCCTGAATCTGTAAATCCGAACTATAAGCAATGGCTGCAAAGGGAAGAATCTTTAGAGGTGCCCATGAAGCAAACAAGTCAAGTTATAGGACATGATGAATCTGCAGAGCTCACCTCTGAGGCATGGCAGCACAAGGAGATATCAATGGGGCTAACAAAGTCAAAGAATCAAAGTATGAAATCTCCAGGGACAACCCCAGGACCATTGGATCAAATTGTAGAGTTTATAAGGATTAGTCCAGAACCACTGGATCAAGTCACAGAATCTGCAAGGACACAGCTTCACGTTGCTCAGTCTGAAGAGGTAACCCTTGTAGATGTCCCAAAAGTTGTTCAATCTGATAAAGTGGCCCCTGGACCACCATTTCAAGTTGTAAAGTCTATGACAATACCAAGGCCAACCCCTCATGTGGTAGAATATATTGAGGTGACTCCAAAACTGCAGGATGTGAGACCTTCAGAGATCCCCTCAGGGCCATGGTTACAAGATGTGAAATCTAAGAAATTAATCACAAAACCAAAACACCAGATTGTGGAAACAATGGAGTTGACAGGGTTTCAAATTGTAAAAACTATGTTAATCCCAGGGCCACCCCTTCAAATTGTAAAATCTGAGGAATTAGCACCAAGACCAATTCCTCAGGCTGTAGAACTAATAGGAGTAGCCCTAGAATCAGGAATTGAATCAACAAGTTCTGTGAATTTACTTCCAAGGCCACATCTTCAAGAACTGATAGTACCTGTAGAATCAACTCTAAGGCCACATATTCAAGTGAAATCTGAAGAATTAACCTCACAACAAACATCTCCATTTAAGGAGCATACAATATTGACTCATCAACAAGGACTTCAGGCTGTGAAATCTACAGTGATAAAAATAGAGCCTCCTAAAGTTATGGAATCTGAGGATTTGAATCTAGGACAGGTGTGTCACAATAGGGACTGTGAGAAGTTAACATCGGAAGAGTTACAAGTGGGTACTGACTTCTCTAGGTTCCTACATAGCTCTTCGACCTCACTTATTTCAAGCTCTGTCAAAACAGCATCTGAATTAGGAGGACTTTGGGATTCTGGGATACAGAAAGTATCCAGAGCTTTGGATGTAAAAAATCTTGGGACAGATATTTTGCAGCATGAAGAGACCTATCTAGACCCTACTATGATGCAATCTTTAACTCTTCCCTTGGCCCTTCATAATCAAAGCTCTGATAAGACAGCTAACATTGTGGAAAACCCATGCCCTGAGATTCCAGGAGTAGATGCCATATCTAAACAGAAAACTAAGAGGAAGCAAATGGAGGAGCTAGAGAACTCACTTCAGAGACATCTGTCACAAAGCTGGAGATCACTATCTAGGACATTCTGGGCAGAATCAGGGGTTCAAAAATCCCTCATCAAGTCTTTCCTGGGCAGACAACACAACATCTGGGAGAGTCATGCCTGGAGGCAGCGACTACCAAGAAAATATCTCTCCACTATGCTAACGCTGGGGAATGTTTTAGGGACCACTATGGAAAGGAAGCTTTGTTCTCAAACATCTCTAGCAGAAAAAGCCACTGCAGATACCTGTCAGTCTATTCAGAATTTATTTGGGATTCCAGCTGAACTGATGGAAGCTTCCCAGAGGCTCCCAGAGAAGGGTCCAGTTAATATTCCTCAGCCTTCAGTAGTCAAAAACTACATTCAGAGACATAGGTCAATGGCCTTAAAAATGTGGACACGCAGCTCCACATCTTCCATAATACAGCAATACTCTGGGAAGAGAATGGGAATAAAGAAAACAAACTCAGGGTTCAGTGGTATATCCCAAGAAGTCATTCAGCATATGCCTGTCACATGTGCAGGGGGTCAGCTTCCTGTCCTGGTAAAGTCAGAGTCTTCCATCAGCATATTTTACAACAGAGAAGATCTTGTTCCAATGGAAGAAAGTGAGAACTCACAGAGTGATTCCCAAACAAGGATTTTGGAGTCCGAACACTCCCTCAAGCCAAATTATCTTCCCCAGAGTGACTTCTCAGAACAGCTCCAGTTGCTACAAGATTTGCAGCTAAAAATAGCAGCAAAACTCTTAAGGAGTCAAATACCCCCCAATGTGCCTCCACCTCTAGCTTCGGGTCTAGTCCTAAAGTACCCCATCTGCCTACAGTGTGGCCGATGTTCAGGACTTAACTGCCATCATAAATTACAGACCACTTCGGGGCCTTATCTTCTGATCTATCCACAGCTCCACCTTGTAAGCACTCCTGAAGGCCATGGTGAGATTCGGTTGCACCTTGGCTTTAGGCTGCGAACTAGGAAAAGACCCCAAATCTCAAAGTATCATGAAAGAGATAGACCCGCCATACGGAGAAGAACTATGTCACCATCACAAAGGAAAGCTAAAATCCATACTCAAGCTTCCAAGAGTCCTACTTCCACGATAGATTTGCAGTCTGGGTCCTCCCAGTCCCCTGCTCCTGTACAAGTCTACATCAGGCGAAGACAACGCAACAGCCCTGACCTGGAAGAAAACACAATAATTAGAGCACCTGGACACTATGAATCCATTCAGGTTCACACCCTATCAAAGAGTGACTCTGAAAGCACTCAGAATGAGAAAAGGGCTAAAGTGAGAACCAAAAAGACCTCTGGTTCAAAATATCCAATGAATAGAATGACCAAGGGACTTAGAAAACACGGAAAGTTCTACACAAGCAGTAGAACCACAATAGAAAGTCCCTCTGGGGAATTACCAGCCCATTTAAGAAGGAAGACGATTGGAGCAGCTCAGACAAGTACCGCCTCCTTAAAAAGACAACCTAAGAAACCCTCCCAACCCAAGTTCATGCAACTGCTTTTTCAGGGCCTAAAGCGGGCATTCCAAACAGCATACAGAGTTATAGCTTTTGTTGGGCAGAAGTCTGGGGACAGGACAATCCCAGACAATTTGTGGGCAAGCAAAAACTATTATCCAAAGCAAAATGCCAGGGACTACTGCTTACCCAGCAATATCAAAAGAGACAGGAGGTCAGCTGACAAGCTAATGTCAGCAGGCTCAACCATTAAGCAGGAGGACATATTGTGGGAAGGGACAGACCAGTGCAGTTCAGCTCAACAGCCAAGAAGAGCTCACTCTTTCCAACCCAGACCTCTTCGACTGCCCAAGCCTACAGGTTCCCAAAGTGATATCACTTTCCAACCTGCCTCAGTGGAGCAGCCTCTGGGAACTGTCCAAAAGGACGGTAGTAGCAGATCAAAGAAAAATGAAATCTCCAGCCAGGAGTCTAAGAACTTGACACCAGGAACCAGAGTTCAGGCCCAAGGAAGAAACCTACCTGGTTCCCCTGTGAAGAGAACCTGGCACCGACACCTTAAAAAGAAACTCACACACGAGGAGCAAAACCACCCCAGCTTCTATAGGGAGAGAACCCCACGCAGTCCTTCTGAGAGAACTCGTCATAGCCGCTCTTGGAGAAGCCATCACAGTCCCTCTGAGAGGAGCCATCGCAGTCCCTCTCGGAGAAATCACTGCAGTCCCCTGGAAAGGAGCCGTCACAGTCTCTCTGAAAGAGGCCATCGCAGTTCCTCTGAGAGGGTCCACCACAGTCCCTCAGAGAGGAGCCGTCACAGTCCTTCAGATAGAAGATTTCGCAGTCCCTCTCGGAGAAATCATCTCAGTCCCCAGGAAAGAGGCCACCACAGTCCCTCAGAAAGGAGCCATCGCAGTCTCTCTGAAAGGAGCCATCGCAGTCCCTCTCAGATAAATCATCACAATTCCTCTGAGAGGAGCCGTCACAGTCCCTCAGATGGAAGATTTAGCAGTCCCTCTCGGAGAAATCATCGTAGTCCCCTGGAGAGGAGTTGTCACAGTCTCTCTAAAAGGGGCCATCACAGTCCCTCTGAGAGGAGCCATCAGAGTTCCTCTGAGAGAAGCCATCGCAGTCCCTCTCGGAGGAGCCATCATAGTCCCTCTGAGAGAACCCATCACAGTCTCTCTGAGAGGAGCCAACGCAGTCCCTCTGAGAGGAGATGTCACAGGTCCTCTGAGAGGAGCCACCGTAGGATTTCTCAGAGAAGCCACAGTTCCTTAGAGAAGAGCCACCTCAGTCCCTTGGAAAGAAGCCGTTACAGTCCCTCTGAGAAAGCATGTCACAGTTCCTCTGAGAGGAGCCACTGTAGTTCCTGTGAGAGAGCCCGTCACAGTCCCTCAGGGATGAGGCCAGGGAGGTCCCATGGGAGGAGCCATCGCAGTTCCTGGGAGAGAGTCCATCACAGTCCCTCTGAGATGAGGCCAGGGAGGCACTCTGGGAGAAGCCATCGCAGTACCCTTAAGGAGAGACTCAAGCACAGTTCCCCTGAGAATAGTCCCAGCCTTTTCAAGGATGGAACAAGTCTCCTTGGGACCACACACAAAAATCCCAAAGCAGAGCAAGTGTGGAGGCCTGAAGCTACTCGAAGAGGCGAGATCCACCCCTATTATTCATTGTCTCCCTCAAATCTTCACAGTGCTGCCCTTTCCAGCCTTTTTTCCTGCTCAGCCATTGCCTCCAGTTCCTGCGCCCCCAGCGTGGAAAGGCTTCCATGTCTCTCTACGGGGGGTGGTGTGTGAGAATCGTCTGTAATTTCTGTAATAAAGCGGCAGTAACTGATCTCCCTGTGCATCTAGACTGAGGCCACTGGGTGGGTGGGTGGGGGAGGCAAGGTGATGGGACACGAGGAATTATACAAAGGTTCGGAATGAGAGCAGGGGTTTTAAGGCTGGGCAGAGGCTCTAAGCTCCGCCCCTTCGTTCCAGACCCTACCCACAGGTTCCCAGGTCCCTTGTTGAGATCCCAGTGGGGCGGGATCTCAGGAATAGGAGGGTTACTGTCATGTGACTCTCTCCGGCCTCAGCCGCCTCGGAAGCTGCTAGGCAGAAGTAGACGTTCAGAAGAGGGCTAGGCAGGGCGAACCCACATCTGGGAGAGGCAAGGAGAGCGGAAGTGGCGTTGGTCTGGCCGGAGTTCTTTGGTGAAATTGTTAGGTGTGGAAAGGGAGTGATGTCTTCCAGACTCGGTGCTGTACCTGTGGGTTTCTTGGTTTGACCGTCATGCTTTAGAGGTAGCACTGTCAAGCCCAGAACACACGGTCTCTAGCTTTTGTCCCATGCTCAGAGTTGGTTTTATCAGAGGCCATCGTAGGCCCCATCCTTCTAGATCAGATCACCTGTCCCCTTTTTCTTTACACGTTCTGCTGCCTGTTCCCCACCTCCTTGGATTTAATTCCTGGATACATTGTCATTAGTTTCTATTCTTTTACATCCCCAGTGTCTCTCATATCCGTTGTCTTTTCTTTTGGCCTCCCTTTTAGAGCCTGGGACAGGGCTTTGAGAATGGGGAAGACGAAGGCTCTGGTATTGTTACCAGCCTTTGCACAGCTGGAAGATAGGACAGCACATTTTTCCTAAAAAGTGTTGCCTTCTTCAGTTTGAGGTTATTGCCCCGGGAGAGCTTCATTTCTTCTGGGCATAGGGGAATTCTTCTTTTTGTGGTCGAGGTTCAGAGATCCCTAGAACTCACTCGTGTGCTTGTGATTTGCTAGACTTCAGGACCCACAACCTTTAAACAGCAGAGGAGCACGAGGATCGTGGGAGCTAAGAAGTAAGTGAGGTTTTCTCAGGTCCTTTTATGATTGTGTCACCAGCACTGTCCAGTAGAACTTCTTCCTGTGATGAAAATGTTCAGTATCTGCATTGTCCAGTATCACAGCCACTAGCCCTGTGTGGATTTTGAGCCGTTGAAATGTGGCTGGTGCAACTGAGGGACTGAATTTTAAATTTTATTTGCTAAGTAAGAGGTTTTTCTAAGGTTCTTTTGTGATTGTGTGTCCAGCGCTACCCATTAGAACTTGTGACAAAAATGTTCTGTATCTGCACTGTCTAGTATCATAGCCACTAGACCCTTATGGCGTTTGAGCGCTAGAAATGTGGCTAGTGTAACTGAGAAATTGAATTTTAAATTTTATGTTATTTTAACTAAATAGCCACCTGTAGCTAGTGACTACTGGATTGGACAGTGTACGTATAAGCCTACTGTGTGGTAGAGAAACCTAGCTTGCAAAAAAAGAGTACAAGTTATAACAAAAATGGAACCAATGACTTACTGGTAATCCTGTACTTCTCCAGACATCACATTCGTGCTCATAAATACATTGATTAACTTGGGATGGATGATCAAAATGGCTGGAAGAAATCCTTGTATTTTTAAACTACTTGGTTGTAAGACTGGTTTATTATTTAGAACACTGAAGGTACTTAGTTTTTCCATGGTTAACACAAAAGAAAACATTCTTGTTAACTAGACATTAAATGGATTCATTCAGGTGACATTTATGAAATGTCTGCTGTGTGTGCCAGTTCTGTAGTAGGTTAGGTATACAGGCGTGAAAAACAACTAGCAGTCTAGAAGGGGAGATAGGCAAGTAGATCAACACAGTTCATTGCAATAATTATTGTAAGTATTTTTAAACGGGAATTTAATGTAGCCTTTGGGGAAGGGGAGTGATAGTTTGGAAGGGAAGGATTATCAGAGCAGGTCACTCGTAAGGATAGACTTGAAAGTTGAGGAATCATGCAGTTAGCGAGAAGGAGAAAAGTTTTTCAGAAGAGAGAACAGTCTGTGAATGTGTGGAAGAAGTTAATGGATAGCAAGTAGTTCTGTATGACTGGGATGGAGGATGAGGGATTGATTGCAGGGAGAGTGTTTAGAGAGGTTAGTAGGGGCTAGACCATGAAGGACCTTTTATGATGGCATGCTGAAGTGTTTGGATTTTATCCTGGAAGGGATGAGGGAATGAAATAGCCAGATGCTGGTCTTAGAAAGGCCACCCTGGCAACATTATGAAGGATGGATTTGGAATGGTACTGGGAAACTGGTTCAGAGGTTATTATGATGACCTCAGAGATGAATGAAGAACATGTGCAGCCTATGGTGGGAACGATATATAGGGAATACATAGGGAACGATGTATAGAGAATGTACAGGTTGTGATGATGAGAAGTAAGAGAAGGAAGATAGGATGTCTATTGGTTTCTGGCTTTGGCAATCAGGTGAATTTTGGAGTAATTTCAGGGAACTAGGAATTCCTGAATGAGGAGCAACATTTGGAACAAAAACAAATAGGTTTGGACCTCAGATGAAGAGCTGGTCTGAAATACAGAATTGGGAATCATCAGCTTTAAAAAATAATTGGAAGCATGATGTTTTCCTCCACAAGCTGAGTATTCATGCGCTATTCTAGGGAAAGTGGTTAGAGCAGTGTTTCTCAGTATGTACCTTGGTCACCTGGAGATAATTGTTAAAATATAAGATTGTTAGGCCCCCATCCATTAACCAGATTTGAAATCACTGGTGTTAGGGTGTGGAAATCCTTATTTTAAACTAGCTTCCTATGAGATTGTGACATTTGAGAGTTAGTTGTGAGAAATGAGATCAGAAAAGAGTAGAGAAGGAAATCATGGTGAACACCAGCTTTTAAAGATTGGGTAAAATTAAATAAGTTTACGAAGGATACCAAGATGAACTAAAGTACTTTTCTAATGAAACCTAAATATTTACACATAGAAGAATAAGCTAGGGGCTCTTAAAATTTTTTGGTAGATCAGAAAGGAGTTAAAAATAGGCTAAACATTTTATGTTTGTGATCAGAAGCTGAGAGTTGCTGCACTGGTGACAACAAATTATAAAATAATTACAATTATGATATTTTATCACAATAAAGCTTTTTCTTGTTGTATGTATGGAAAGGAAAGTTTGAGCTTAATTTGGCTTTTAATAAATAATCAAATGTCCTGGGGCCGATAGGTAGATAGTGTAAAATACCTGAGAATTGTTTTTGTTGAGTCCTTTAAAAATAAAACATGAGACCTGGAAGGAAGGATTCCCTAACCACCTTGACTTAACCTCCAACATGTTAATTATGCTGATCTTATGAATCATTGCCTTTTCAGTCTGCTTATGCTTATTCATAAGAGGGTAGATGTGTACTGTATTTCTGAGTCCTACACTGATAGTAAGAAATTCCTACATGAAGAGTTTCCTGAGAGTCATTCCCTGGGGCTTGGTTCTTAATGGCTTGCTGGTACCATTAAGTCTTTTTTGGTTTTTGTTTTGTTTTGTTTTGTTTTTGGAGATGGAGGCTCATTCTGTCATCCAGGCTGGAGTGCAGTGGCATGATCTCGGTTCACCGCAACCTCTGTCTCCCACATTTAAGCAATTCTCCTTCCTCAGCCTCCGGAGTAGCTGGGATTACAGGTGCACACCGCCACTCCTGGCTAAGTCACTGTATTTTATAGTAGAGACAGGGTTTCACCATGTTGCCCAGGCTGATCTTAACCTGAGCTCAGGCAGTCTGCACACCTCAGCCTCTCAAAGTGCTAGGATTACAGGCATGAGCCACCACGTCTGGCCCATCAAGTCTTTCTAGCATTGTTTGCGATGATCGGTTTTGGCTTTAGAGGCCTGCCAATCCATTAAATTTTTAAAATACCTGTATCGAGGTATACTTGGAGTACAATAGACTGCACATATTTAAAGCATACACTGTGGTCAGCTTTGACCCATGTCTGTACCCGTGAAACCATTGCCACAATCACGATAACAAACATTTTTGTCTCTCCCAAAAGTTTGTTCATGTCTCTTTGCCATTTCTTCCTCTATTCCTGTCTACAGGCACCACTGTACAGTGGTTTGCATATTTCAGGATTTTATATAAACAAAGTCACACAGGATGTTCTCATTTTTTTCATGATTTCTTTCACTCAGAATAATGATTTTGAGATGAAAAATAGTTTTTATTGCTGAGTAGAATTCCATTATGGATACCATAATTTGTTTAGCCATCTATCTTGATGGACATTTGAGTTATTTTCAGTTTTAGGTGTCAGTAAGGCTGCTATGAACATTCATGTGCAAGTCTTGTGTAGACAAATGCTTTCATTTCTTCAGATAAATATCTAAGATGGTATTTACCATCATAGGTTGGTTGATTCATATGGCAGGAGTATGTTTCGTTTTTTAAAGAAACTACCTGTTTTCCAAAGTGGTATTTTGCATTCCGACCAGCAATGTAGGAGAGTCAGTCTTTTCCATTTTAGCTAATTTAATGGGTGTGTAGTGGTATCTCACTGTGGTTTTGTGGGTTTTTTTTTTTTTTTTTGTCTTTTTTTTTGCCCTCTAATCTACTGTCCTGGTTCTCTGCTCAGTCCCCTTTTATCACCCAGGTTGGAGTGCAGTGGCTTGATCTCAGCTCACTGCAGCCTCCGCCTCCCAGGTTCAAGCAATTCTCCTGCCTTAACCTCCTGAGTAGCTGGGATTACAGGTGTGCACCCCCATGGCTAATTTTTGCATTTTCAGTAGAGATGGAGTTTCACCAATGTTGGCCAGGCTCGTCTCGAACTTCTGACCTCATGTGATCCTCTCAACTTGGTCTCCCAACATGCTGGGATTACAGACGCCAACCACCGCGCTTAGCTTAATTGGTGGTTTTTAATTCATCATCTATGAATAATAATGTTGAGCATCTGTTTGTATTCTTTTTTTTCTTTTTTTGCATCTGTTCGTATTCTTATTGGCCATTTCTATTATGTAAGTATCAGTTTACATTTTTATCCATTAAAAAATTAGGTTTTCATATTGAATTGTATTTTAAAAAACCTGTTCTGAATATAACTCTTTTGTCTGCTATATTTCCTTCCAGTCAGGTTTGTCTTTCCTTTTCTGAATGTTTCTTTTGAAGAGCAAAAGGTTCAAGTTACCATTTTTTCCCTTATGTTGTATGCTTTTATGTATCATGTTTAAGAAAACTTTGCCTCGCTGGAGATTGTAGTGAGTCGAGATTGCCCCACTGCACTCCAGCCTGGGTGACAGAGTGAGATTCTGTCTCAAAAAAAATAATAAAAAAAGAAACTTTTGCCTCTGTAATTGTAAAGATATTCTCTGGTCCTTTCTCCTAGAAGTTTGTAGGTTTTATATTTAGGTCTGTGACTCATTTAGAATTAATTTTTGTGAATGTTGTATGGTAAGGGTCAATGTTGACTTTTTTTTCTATTTGTATACCCAGTTGGAAAGAATTTTCTTTCCCTATTGAATTGCCTTGGCACCTTTGTCAAACTTTACTTGCACATGTGTACGTGTAGGTCTGTTTGTGGACTCTCCTTATTCTCTTCCATTGATGTTTATTTAGACTCTTGAAATTAGATAGTAAGTCTTCTAACTTTGGTGTTCTTTTTCAAAATTGTTTTGGTTATTCTCAGTTCTTTGCATTTTTATAAAAATTACAGAATTGGGTTGCCAACATCTATTAAAAGAAACTTGTTGAATATTAATTGGTATTATATTGAATCTATAGATTCCTTTGGGGAAAATTGCTATTTTAACAATACTGAGTTTTCTGATTTATGAACATGCTATATTTTTCCCTTTATTTAAGTCTTTTTTTTTTTTTTTTAAGATGGGGTTTCACCATGTTGGTCAGGCTGGTCTT